GTGTTGAGGTCAGAAAAAAGTCTCTGGAAAAGAAAGACCTTTTTACTGGGCAGGTGCATGTATTGTTTAGTAATAAAATAACTCTGTGATTTCAAAACCCCTTATCTATATCTGGGTAAAAATAAACATTCCTATTTGAGAAACAAGCAAATGCCATTGTGAAGAGCAGTGGTTTCAAGGTGCGACCACCCAGTCAAAGAATATGTATAGACTTTCTTTGACCGAGCCTCGAGAGGATTGTGAGCATTGTGATTGTGTCACAATGCTCTGCATTGTCATTGTGTCACAATGCTCTAGTGGGGCAGTGGTTGCACCCTGAAACCACAAAGCAAATGCCGTACATATAGAGGTTTTTTTTTTATATATATGCAGTTTAATTATTGCTATTTTGTATTGTTTATGATAGAAATCATGATGTGCAATGAATAACGTTTAAAATTTAAAGTTGTTTATATTAATAAAAGGAAGTTATTTTGTCTCACTGAAAACAAATTTTAAAAGGCATCCAATTTGAAGTACTAAGACCTAAAACATGTACGATTCTGTAGTAATTTTGTGTTATTTAGAGGTAAAAGATCAGTAATCAATTGATTTTCACTCAAAAGTTTTGGAAGGAAGAGGAGAAAAAAATTTGAAAATTGGTGGTTTCAAGGCATGGGCCACTACATGTTAAAGAGTTATGTGACTAAAAACTATGAATTGGTGAGACCTCTCAGTGATCACATTCATTTTCATATTCCTCTGCTAATCTAGTGAGAAAGCTTATCTTTGACCATTCATCAGTAAAATGTTGATGTACTTCAAAATTTACATGATGCTTAATTTGAACAGTTATCATTAAGATCTTTCAAGAGTTCAAAATCTTTAATTTCAAAACCTTTGATCCGTTCTCCAAAACATTTTTTTTTAATTCAAAGGCAAAATCCCTCCAAGTGGTATGAGCATTTTTTGGGGAGGTTAATTGCACAAATTTAATGCGAAAATTTTCTTGATTAAATATGAATCTTTTAAACAATAGCCCTTTCATGTAGGCATAGTCATAAACTTGCTGTTTTGGCTATCGAATAACCAGTTAAACTATATAAGTTTTCAAAAATGTCAATAAGATAGAAACCCATTTTGTTTGGTTTAAATTTGTACCCTTAGTTTGGTACTCAGTATTACTAGATACTAACTAACTAATATCAGTCTCTTTGGGTTCAAATTTTTAATAATATTTTAGAGATCAAAATGACTTTTCACAGACATTCTTTCTTTACTTCCATCTATTAACAGAACATTTTCATTAGTGTTGTGCAATTTCAGTTTGGTTATTTGGAATTCTGTTCTGCCTCTCTTCTACTTCTCTCTTCTTAATTCTATCCTCCCTTTCCTCTTCTTTGATCCTAATTCTATCTTGCCTGTCTTTGTTTTCCCTCTTAATTCTATTTTGCCTCTTTCTTCTTTTCTAATTCTATCCTCTTCTTTTTTCTGCCTGTCAAGCCTTACAGAAGTGATACTTTCAAAGAAACTCTTCAAAAGTTCTCCATTGTAGGCTTTGTTCTGAAAATCTGCTGCACAAGTACCTCATATTCCTCTGATAACTTAGTGAGAAAAGTTTTGACCATTCATCAATAAAATGTTGATGCACTTTGAAATTTCTGCGATGTTTCATTTGAATCATTATCATATAATCCTGTAAGAGTTCAGAATCTTTAATTTTGAAACCTTTGATATGTTCTTTAAAATAATTCTTTAATTTAAAGGCAAAATTCCTCCAAGGCTTTAGTCATAGGCTTTGTTACTCTTAATCTTATCCTAAGCTCAGATCTTTGTCTTAGATCTATTATCCTAAGCTCAAATCTGAACTTTTCCTGTAACTCTTTGATCAAGATTTTAATATTCTTTTTTTTCCCCTGACCTTTTCTAAGAATGCCATGATATACATACAACATATAAATATAAAAGTAATAATTCCTTTTTTTAAACAAAAGCGAATTTCAAATATGAGGAGAAAAACTGAACTATTAAGTTTCACACGAAATTTAAAGTGATCTAAAGTTCAATTTCAAAGTAATTCATACCATCACATGCACATTATGCATTCAATTATAATTAATCAAACATAAGGATTTATGATAATACAAAAACACTTTACAGTTGGATCATCAAAATTCTGTCTGTTTTAATGTAGGCATTTACATTATTATTCATAAGGTAAATAAATAATAATAATAAAAACTCCTAAATAAATATCAACGCCGAAACATTATAATAACATGGTACTAAGAAATTCTAAACCAAAATAATCATTTAAGTTCTGTAACAAAAAATTCTAATATTTAATATATTCAAAGATAACTTAGAAATGACATATCAAAATACCAGTTAAAATTCAGAGAATACAGAATTATAGTAATTTTTCTTTTTACACATTCAAACTGTATGAACTTAACTATTGCAGAAACTAACATAACCATTGCAGATATTAAAATATTTATTAATCTAAGCTCAAATTTCTTAATGTGTAATTCTATTATTTGAAACACAAAAACCAGTTTGACGTATTTTCTGAAAGCTTAGAGGAAGATTGTAATACTGACTAAAAACAACAATTACGTAAAACTCGATTAAATTACAAAAATGATTTAAAGTAATTCACTGTCTCAGTATAAAAATTTAAGGTACTTCCCCACCTTAATTTGTAGATTAATAATGCTTGGAATATGATGATGCTGTTAACTGATCATCTACAAGATTTTTATGGACATAAATGGTCATTTATCACAATATTGACAATGCACAAATTTTCAAATGCAAAATGATCCAATATAATAAACTAATTTTTGGACACTGATGGTCCCAACAAAACATTATGGCTCTAATTTAAAATATTTACAGACACAGATGGTTCAACAAAATTTTAAGATGCTGCTGATTTTCAGACTTTGCAATCCATTTCTTAATAGTGAAATTTTTGCACTACTCTACATGAAAATATTTATGCACAGTTGACAAGACTTTAAAATGTGCTGAAAATCATTGGATGCTGTTATACTTCATACCCGGAACTGATGCTTAAGTTGTCATAAATATCTATAGAGTAAACACGAGATTTTTCATTTTTGCAAGCAATCTAAAAACTGATTCTGTGGGTGCTCATTCCTGTGCTGCCACCAATATAAAATATAAGCTGTAATGTCTTTGAACTTTTTTTGATGGGGTAGCATGAGTAATGCTGGAACTTTCCAGCATCAGACAGGTTGTCTTTTTGAGTTTTATTTAACATAATGATAGAATTTCATTTTTAACATCTTTGGAAAATATCAGTTATAGAACATCTGGACACTAGGAAATCTCAAATCAATTTTCCTCTCCTTATCTTTCTTGCTATTTAATGAGTAAACAAACAATAGCAGGGAGGTGAGATCCAAAGTTTGATTCAGAACTTCCTTTACTGATCATGAAGACCCTCCACAGTTGACCAAATAGCTTCTTTCTTGTGGAACGAGAAATCCATCAACTGTAAACACATACAGTAATGGTACAGTACATATAATTCATACCCTAATATATGTGCAGATGTTGAGTTTTGCCTTCAGTTCAGATACTTAGCATAAATAATTATACTACTAGACACTCATTGAAACCTTTAATCACTGAGAGTATTTTTTATGATTTATTCTATAATTTTAATGAGCAATGCATATATACAGGCTATATAGTGGCTTACATTCTGTTTTTCAGTAATTCAAACACATAAAAATGTTTTATCTTATGAAATTGGAATTATGTAAATTCTGTTTGCAATATGGCTTAAACTGAAAAAAAGCAATTTGGGGCATTATAATAAAGAGATAAAAAGTAGGAAAATCAGGGTCTACTGAAAGTAAGTTTAAATTCAAAATTTTGAAAATATAGCCCAGTAGCTATTGAGTTACAGGTATGAGTTAAATTTTAAAAAGTGTGAAATATAAATAAATTAGAACTACTTGTAGTAATTTAATAATTTTCAAATTCTTGCACTGAACATATGCATGAAAATATTTGAAAATGTTTTATTTGCGCATTTTAACAGCTCAACTGTATTTAAATTTTTTTATACAAGATATGGAGAAATCAGAATATTTTGGAGTGGAAGATGAATTTTTATTATAACGTGTGCATTGCAAAGTAATTTTTAATATCATGCAGGAAGAATGATCTACCATTTTTAGTTATTTATTTATCTCTTACCTGTTATTTCCAAAATGCTATTTTTATATTTTAACATGCAGTAAAGTGGTGGTAAAAGAGACGATTAACACTACAACTAATTATAGTGCCACCATCTAAAAAATAACTGACTAAAAGTGGTAGATCGTATACATGATTTCACTGTGTACTTGTTTTACTGGAATTTCGTGGTTTCTGTTATAGTGATTACTTTCTCTCAGTTCTAATATTCTGTGCAATAAAAAATAATAAAGTAAGTGACTTCATAATCCTTTTATAATAAAAGTATCAATTAGTCATATTAGTTTTTAATGTAATTTTTCTTCACTCCACTAAAGGTCTCTTTGTATAGATTTCCAAATTTACAAAATAGAATGTTCACTATTTGCTTCTAAAAAGATTCATTCAATTTTGATTTTCTTATTTTTATTCATGCATATTTTTATTTATTACATGAAAGCATTCATATTTTTTATTCTATAAATAGAAATATTAGTAACATTTGTCTTGAAATATTTGTAATCAATAATTTTAATTTATTTGATTAAAAATGTTTTAAATTATAATTTTTCCTGTAGTCAAAAACTTTTGTTTTTCAATTTGAGTGTGCTTTTTCGTATTTCCCCCTTTCATTTGTCTAAAACCATGTAAATTGTTATAATTATTTTCATTATATTTGTACACCATTTTTGAAAATCCTAGTTTGTTTTTTTATTACTATGTATTTGTTCTCTGCTTACAGCAATAATTAATATATTCTCTTGCCTATAGTAATAATTAAAAAATGTGTCTAACAATTTTTTCAGGTGCTGATCCTTCCAAAGTGAATGATATTGGCCATAAACCTATTGATTATGCTAATTCAAAGGAAATGAAGCAACTTCTGGAAACAGCTACAACAAAAGTATAGTAATAATTTTAGACTGCAGTTACATTTTCCGATGTGAAAAATATTGTTTTTGTTTTATATATGTATTATAAAAATTACACAATGTAGCATAATTTTTGTGAAAAATTTATCAGTTTAATGGCAATTTTATATGTTATTTTTAATATTCTTGTCTGTTGATATATTTTGTGTTTTTAGCTGTTGATTAAGTATGAAATTTAATATTAAGACAAGTAAAAAGCAGTTTAGAACAGAGCAGATTTTTTTTTTTTTTTTTTTTTTTGCTAGTAAAACATTTTTTAGAAGTAAAATTTAAAATTCGTCAAGATCCAAATGGTAAAATTTCACAAGATACATGAGTTCTTAATATGCTCACATAAATGAAAGTATAGAAGGAAAAAAAAAAAAAAAAAAAAAAAACAGTCTAAAAAGCAAAAATGTGGATATTTTTAAGAATCGTGAAAAAGGGCTAAATGTGAAATTTGTCTGGCCAGTTGTATTTCATCCTGATTGATAAAAAATGTGAATGTTTACTTGGATATGAAATACTTATGTTTCTGATAGATGAAGAGATTGACATTTGTATGTAAAAAATTCAGATAATCTCAAAAAATTTTTAATTAATTTTCCTAATTTAAGCAGTTGTTTATCATGTAGTTTAAACAGTTGCAACTTTATTCTGTATGTTTGAATTTGAGCATAATGAAATTTGATAGAAATGCTTTAACAGAGTTCATACAGTCCTTAAAAGTACTTAAATGTCTGTAGGTTTTTTGGAAAAAAAATTTACCCTTAAAAGTCCTTAATTTTGGCCAACTGGCAGAAGGTCCTTAATTTTATTTATCTGACATTTCTGTTTATTTTTTTAAGACTACCATTACGAATTAACATTTTGAAGGAATATTTTTTGCAATGTATTGAGAAATATGTATTTGATGAGTTAACATTTAAATTCTTTCCTTCTTCCTAATATAAATGGTGGATGCTTGAGTACTAGGTATAAGGCCTTCTTTGATTGAAATACTATAAATATTTCAAAATTATAATTTCTTTGTGATTGAAGAGTTCATAAAGTATTGCATCAAAAACAACTTTTCCCTTTTTGGAATAAGAGTTCATTTTGTGGCACGGAATTTTGCTATTTTAAGATCAGTTTGTGTAAAAAATATTTTTTCAGAAATTTGCAAAATTTTCACAGTTTTTTTACAAACATAATAACATTGATAAATATCATAAAAATAATGAGAATATATATTAAAATTACATTTAAGAAATAACATTAAAATAAAGCATTTTTATTTTCTTCTGGCATATTTTTATTACTTTTAATTTTGGTGACTTGCACCTCAGAAATTCTTATGGAAAATTTATGAAATGTGACAAAATGAAAAATATCTTGGTATTGACATGTAATTGATGTGTTTTATAGGAAATTTGTGATGAATTTCTAAAAATTCTGCCTCACTGGCTGTGGCATCGGCCTTGACCTTATATTATTTCATATTATTTTCAATACTCATACTATTATTAAAGAAATAAAATAAGTAGTTTCTTCTGTGTATTCTAAGTACAGGCTGTTCTCTAGAATAACAAAAATCTTTAATTAAATTTAAAAATTCTAAAATAAAGAGGATATTCATTAAAAAAATTCATTTTATGAAGAGAGAGAAAAGAATTTTTCAAAGGTACACTATGCATAAAAAAGGGGGGAGTTCTATATCTTCCATTCTACTGGGCCAATTGGCGAAATTCAAACTGCATTTCCCATGTCTCAAAAGTGCGACTTAGGATATATATATATATTAGTAGGATATATATTAGATTTATATATAGCTTTGTTCTAGTAAAGTTATGACACAAAATCGGACTTTTTCTAAAATAACATACCATTTTTTTCCCATATTTCGATTCTACGACTCAAATTATGCCTAGATATTAAATATTGCAATTTTTGGTAAGAAATTTATGGAGAAATTTTAAAATTCACTTGGCGAACTTCTTAATTTATAGCAACCTATTTTTCTTTCTTTTTTCTTCATTATCCATGAGTGAGAAAAAAATTATCGTTCATACTTTCGAACAATTTTTAGCAAAGTGAGTAAACCATATTTTCATCATTATTGCTTATACTAATAAATACGCCAAATTTCAAAATGCGCCAAAATGTAAATTCACGTATATCTTAGGAAATTTTGAATAAAAAACTCTAATTTTTTGCAGTTATGAAAAATATCTACTTTAGAAATATATCTACTGTAAAATGATTGCAAATCTTTTATAGGTTATAAATTAAACTTTTTTTCGAAAAATTTATAAAAATTATTTAAAAATAAAAATTTTAAAAATAAATCATAAAAAAATTGGCAAATTTTACTTGGAATGAACCTAAATTTTGAAATATGAAAGGAAGAACCAAATAAGTTTAATAAAAAAAGAGATATTATTAAATACATATCAAATTTAATTAATATTGAAGAGCTAAAATTTGGAGAGCTAATTTTTTAAAAACTACTTGTGCAATTTTTACAGAACTTGGCAGTTTGGCATAATTTGAATCGTAGAATCGAAATATGGGAAAAAAATGGCATGTCATTTCAGAAAAGTCCGATTTTTGTGTTAAAATACTTATATTAAAGCAGTGCTATATATAAATCTAATACATATCCTAAGTCGCGCTTTCGAGACATGAAAAATGCAGTTTTAATTTCGTCAATTGGTCCAGTAGAATGGGAGATATAGAACTGTCTCCCCTTTTTTGCGCAGTGTACATTATTGAAACATTAACAGATTAGGAGAGAAAGCAGAGATTAGTGATACATTGATTTGTTTATTGAAACAAATAAACTTACAAAAGCTGCTAAAGGAAACTCCTGTAAATTAGCTAAAATACCTAGAAAATTTTCAAATTAAAAATACATAAAAATATTTTGTTACAAAACATGTTTTGTAGCTTTTAATGTATAATTATACTAATACCATTTTAGAATTAGTATCATAAATTATAACTGCTATAAAATGTTCTTTGCTTTTTAATGGATATTTTTTAGAAGTCCCCCCCCCAAATGGCAGGCCCAAGACATCTTAAGATGTTGGCCACTACTAAGGTCAGAAGCAGTGGTCACTTTATTATGGAGGCACCTATTAAGTAGGCCACTGTTGCTTCCTATGAAGAGATAGACAAACACTGTATGCTTTCTCTGGGATTTATACCCAGGCCCTTCAGTATGGCAGTCAGAGTCACTAACCACTTTCCCATCTGAGTGGCTTTTTTAGAAGTTAAAAAAAATGTAATCATAATCTATTTTGACTAAGGGTATCTAACTACTTAATTTAATTATTTGTAACTAACTGCTCTCCTTTAGAAGTTATCTCTACATGTTAAAGTCAGTTATCTCTTTTCCTTGAATAAAAGTAATATCAGATTGTAAAATATTAAGCTTATTGTAATTCTATGCTTAATATTTGAGAGAAGATATTTTGAGGATCACTTTATCATAAAATACATATTATTAAAATGTAACTGTCAGTAAAAAATTAATTTTTTTTTACTACTGAATAGTGTTTGAATAAAATAATTATTAAAATGCCACTTTCAAAGTTTCATAAAAGCAGTTAATTCTTTTCCATTGCCCAAATTTAATGGGGCACCAAAATATTTATCACCTTTTTGTATTTTAAATCTCTAGCTATTGTTATGTTAAGTTAGGTTTGTCTTCAGTCCTATAAAGAAAAATATAGCAATATTCATGAATTTAGTCCCTTACCCATTGACATGCTAAAACTAAAAATATGTAAAAAAAAAAATAATAATAATAATCAAAGTGGTATACAAAACTCCATTATTTTGAAAATATAAGTAACATAAATTTAAGGCATCTACATGTATTAATTATCTTTGATGGCAAGTCCTTTGTGCCCAATGTAAAATGGTGTGTAATTATCTGAAGGGCATTTATTGAGGGAAGAAGTAGGGAAGTGAGTAGTGACCCCCCAAAAAAGTATTTTTTATTATTTGCATAAGTAAATTTTTATTTTTTAATATTTTCCAAAGCCAGTGTTGATTGTCACAACTAGTTTTAATCAGTATTATATGGATGTAGTTAGAGTATGAGTCTTATTGAAAAATTTATTGCTGAATGCTTCCATTAATGCTGTTTTTAGGCCTTTCTTATAGTCTTTTTTCCCCCCGTAATTATTGAATCATCCCATGACATGCTCTATAAAATTCCAATCATGGTTATGGTGTTGAATGCAGTTACTGGGAAACCTTACACCCTAAACTTTTTAGGATTTGGATTAATATGGTCTTTTGAGCAATTAATCCTGCTAGAAGTCTGTTATTCTGGAGGTCCCAGTTTAGTTGTATTATACTATAAATTAGTGTCAGTGGCATAGCTAGGGTGGGGCAAGGGGGGACATCTGTCCCCGGGCGCAGCATTCAGGGGGCGCCAAATTGATGTTACGAAATTTTAGAATGAAATGTTTTCGTTCTTGGCACAGAGAAATAGCGCAAAATCTTCAGTTGTCCCCGGACGCTGAAAACCCTAGCTATGCCTCTGATTAATGTATAGTTTATTGAGATATCTATAGTTATCATATGGAGGAAAATCAGCCCAATGTAAGATTTAAAATTAGACAAAAAGGCAACTTTAGTTTGGCATTGATTTTGAATAAATTTGTATTGATTACAAGAATGATCAGACACAGGTCTCTTTTCTTCAGAAGCAAACAGTAAAAAAAAAGTTTGCAAAACAGGAGGAGTAACAACCATTTTTATGTTGACAACAATGAACAATGAGCAGAACAAAGCAGGTATGAATGTAGTGTCATCTTTTGAGGAAAATAAAGACAACACATGAAAACTAAGGTATTGTAATTTTGAAAGTGTTAGATAGGACTAAATTGGAAATAATGTCATTAAAAACTAAAATCACTAAGGAATTAATGTCACTAATTAAGAACTTTAATTATTAACTAACTATTTAAACATTAATTTCACAATAAAGTTTTTTTGA